CCAACAACGCCACCATCAAACCCGCCCCGCAGGCCAGAGTACTTGGTGTCATTTTGGACTCCAACCTATCCTTCCAGCCCCAAGTCCACTCTTTAACAAACTTGTGCAGACTCCACCTCCGCAACATCGCCAAAATCCGCACGTTCCTAACTCCAGAAACCACTAAACAGCTCATCCACTCCCTCATCATATCGCGACTCGACTACTGCAACTCCCTCCTCACTGGCCTGCCTCGCCGCTGGCTATCCCCGCTTCAGTCCATCCTGAATACGGCTGCCAGACTCATTCACCTTTCCAACCGCTCCGTTTCCGCCACCCCCCTCTGCCAATCCCTCCACTGGCTTCCGATTGCGCAACGGATCAAATTCAAAATCCTAACGCTGACGTACAAAGCTGTCCACCATACTGCCCCGAACTACATCACTGACCTAATATCCAAGTACCGCCCAGCACGCACACTCCGCTCCTCACAAGACCTCCTTCTCTCTAGTTCCCTGGTCTCCTCCTCCCATGCCCGCCTCCAGGACTTCTCCAGGGTGTCACCCATCCTCTGGAACTCCCTGCCCCAACCCATCAGATTATCACCTACTCTCCTCTCCTTTAGGCGCACCCTGAAAACCCATCTCTTCAGGGAAGCTACCCCGCCCCCTGTTAACTTGCCGACCTCCTCCACTCTTCCTACCACTCCATCCCCCACAGCTATCTCCTCCTGTGCCACCATCCCCTCCCTCCTAGATTGTAAGCTTGAAAGAGCAGGGCCCTCGATCCCCTCATGTTTTGCATTGTATTGGTATTGTTCTGTCACATGTTCTGTCCCCCTTTGTAATGTACAGCGCTGAGCGAACTATTGGCGCTTTATAAATACTGTATAATAATAATAAAATAATAAAGTCCCTAACCCTCAAGGGGCATACAATCTAAGGTCCCTAACCCTCAAGGGGTGTACAATCTAAAGTCCCTAACTTACATTCATACATACACATACTAGGGACAATTTAGACAGGAGCCAATTAACCTACCAGCATGTCTTTAGAGTGTGGGAGGAAACCCCCTCAAGCACAGGGAGAACATGCAAACTCCATGCAGGAGGTGCCATGGTCAGGAATTGAACCCATGACCCATTTACTGCAAGGCAGAAGTGCTAACCACTAAGCCACTGTGCCGCCCAGTTGGGTGGATCCTTACACAACTTCTAAATTGTAATCTATGCTTGGTCTGTTTGGATGAAAGGGAACCAAGTGGCCAATTTGCAGGCAGTCTCTAAGTGCCCAGTAACATACTGACGCTAGAAAATTCATATACAGTACACTCCAGATGGTACTTTACCCCTTTACTCCTGTGCAGATAGCTAAGTATGTGCCAGGTTTTAACCCTTGGTGCTTCCGAGGTCGTAAGACAGAATGAAATATTCTTCATATATGGTGGACGTGCCCAGTAGCCCATCAGCTGTGGTCTACAACATGATTTATTCCATCACATATATTAACCTTCAGAAGAAACCAAGTGAAGCACTTTTTTATAAGCCACGTAGAGATGTCTCTCATGAAACCCACACATCGATTGCTTTCTTTTTCATGGTGACCAAGCAAACTATAGAATATTTTTGGAAGTCCCCTTCTCTCCAGTTTGAGGAAGTTAATTCCAGAATTCAAGATTTCTTTATTAATGAAAAAATAACAGCGGAATTGGAAGACAGACATGACCAGTTCCTTTTGATCTAGCAACCTTGGCTAGAATACTAACCAGGGGCGGACTGACCATTTGGAAACTCAGGCACTGCCCGAGGGCCCGAAGTCAGTAGGGGGCCCCATGAGACGCTCCTGGTACCTTTTTCATAGGCTTTTTTGAGTTTAGGCAAGGACACAGGGGCCCCATGATCCCCTATTGCCTGGGGGCCCCATGAGTTGTCAGTCTGCCCCTGCTACCAACCAGTCTTTCGTTTCACTACACGATTGATCAATCAACCTGAGTTAGAATCCTTACTGAGAGATGCTTCTCTGTCTAAACTAATTTACAAGGCTCTCATGCCCTCTGTTCACAATGGCCTGGAAGATCTTCTTTTTATAGCCGGTGGATGTGCCAGATATGGACTGGGAAGACTGGAAAGATATATGGGAATACCCCTTTCTCTAACCAGTTGCTGTCAGAGATAGACTGATCCATTTTAAATTATTGCACAGAGCCTACTTAATGCCACATAGATTAAATAAAATTTACCCTGGGGTTTCTCACCATTGCTGGAGATGTGCAGGTGAGTCAGCAGATTTTCGACACATGTTTTGGACTTGATTTAAAAGGTTTGATCTGAGGTCACTCAATTTATTTCCTCCTTGACCACAATTCCCGATGAAAATTGAATTCTGCTTATTAGGACTGGTTGACTCCTTGGCCTTTCAGTGGCGACTAAGACCCTCCTCCATGCCAGGAAGACTATTGTATGAAAATGAAAAGCAGCCAAGGCTCCTACCCTAAACTTTTGGAAAGCTTTAACAAATTTAGTTATGCCACTCTGCAAGGCAACCTTCATTTTTCATGGATGCCCTAGTAAATTTAATAAGGTGTGGGACTTTTAACTTGTTTTATCTACCACCAATAAAACATAGACAGACTCACAATCTATCTGGGAAAATCCTTTGGAAGATTGTAGAGTCTTGGGGGACAAGAATGGCAACTTCTGTACTCATTATATATATATAAATATAATATTGCCGTCAGGAGTTGAAAATAGTTAGTCCTAATTTTCCTTTCTCTCAAGTAATTGGAAGAGTCTGTAGCTGTTGTCATAGTCTATTCTGATGTTTTACCCTCGTGGGACCGAGCGGAAATTCATACGTGTTTCTAAGTCGACTTTGACTGTGACTTTTATGTTGTTCTTGAATTGTATATTTAGAGACAGGGTATGCCTAACAGCTCGGTTGTGTGTTTACCAGACTTTTTTTACAATATACAAAAATTAAAAGGATGTAAAAAATAAAATTGTTTTCCAGGACTTCAAGGATAGCCATAAATATCTTTTTATTTTTGTCGCGCTGTGTATATATATATATATATATATATATATATATATATATATATATATATGTTAAATTCAAACACACTTTGCATTTTTTAATTTTATGTAAATTTTTTGTTTTCCAGATGCTGATAAAGCAGCATATTTGATGGGTCTGAACTCTTCAGATCTGGTGAAATCTCTTTGCAATCCAAGAGTCAAAGTTGGAAATGAGTTTGTGACCAAAAGCCAAAATGTGCAGCAGGTGAGGACTGACAACTACTCTTCACTTTCCAACACTATCAGTGTTAGACAGATTTTACTGACAAATGTCTATTCTAGGTCTACAACTCCATTGGTGCTTTGGCCAGATCTGTTTATGAGAAACTCTTCTTATGGATGGTGACCCGCATCAACCAGCAGCTGGACACAAAGCAGTCCCGCCAATACTTCATTGGAGTTCTGGATATTGCTGGATTTGAAATTTTTGATGTAAGATCATAGATCTTTGCCTTCACTATTCACATTATGAAGTGATCGAGGTTGGTTATTATTTATTTCTTCTCCTAAAATTTCAGTTCAACACTTTTGAACAATTGTGTATCAATTTCACCAATGAAAAACTGCAACAGTTCTTCAACCACCACATGTTCGTGCTGGAACAAGAAGAGTATAAGAAGGAGGGAATTGACTGGGAGTTCATTGACTTTGGCATGGACTTAGCCGCCTGCATCCAGCTTATTGAGAAGGTATATAAGAAAAGCCCCCTATTAACACTCCAGCATGGGTTGAAACGTGTGAGTTTCATTATATGGCCAAATGTTTGTGGAGATATGACCATCTCACCACTATATAACCAAAAGTATGTGGACTCCCTTCTAAAATTACTTCAGATGTTTCTAGTGAAAGGAACTGCTACAACATACAAAGACACTTTATACAATTAAGCTATTCCAGCAGTTTTGTGAAGGCCCTTTCCTCTTCTAGTTAGACAGTGCCTTAACTCCATAAAAACACATTTAATGTGAAAGAACTTGAGTGACCTTCACAGACCCCTGACCTCAGATCTACTGAGCACTCTCTGTGAACCAGGTTTGATCAAACATCACTACCTGATCTCACAAAAGTGGACCTCAGACCTACTGGGCACTTTCTGTGAACCAGGTTTGACCCAACATCAGTAAGATCTCACAAAAGTGGTCCAAGATCTTGCGGAAAGCCTTCCAGAAGGATAGAGGCTGTTTTAGTCACAAACAGAGCAGTTACTGTTATTACTGTGGTTTCAGAACGAGATGTCCAATAAGCTCATATGGGTGAGATGATCAGGTGGGCACAACTTTTTAGTCATTAGTGTAACAGAGCCTGTAGGAAGAGGTAATTTATACATCATAGTTTTACACCTTGCGTAATCTTCTCACCTTAATATTGTGTTCTTATGCATACCAATTATGTAGCTGACCCTTTATTCTTCTGGAGTGCAGGCAATCTCTACTCTAATAAACACGATATGGGAAGCCACTGAAATTCCAGGGCTGGAAACTAGGCAAAGAGGGCAATAGTCAAGCTCACTTGTCTCTAGGATAGTACGCTAGGGGTTCTTTTAATAAATTTACATTTTTTTTTATACACTTAAATTCTTAGTTACCCAAGTCAAATCTTTATCTTTTTTAAGAAGACGACAGATATAGTTGGCAAACAGAAATAAACATCATTGTGCAAGGATTACTGCCACTTCTATAGCAAAGATCTTTTCATCCCTTCATGTTTCTTTTTTCAGCCGATGGGAATCTTCTCCATACTGGAAGAGGAGTGCATGTTCCCTAAGGCCTCTGATACCACCTTTAAGAACAAGCTGTATGACCAACATCTTGGAAAGTCACCCAACTTCCAGAAACCAAAACCAGGCAAAGGCAAAAGCGAAGCTCACTTTTCCCTGGTACATTACGCTGGCACAGTGGACTACAATGTCACTGGGTGGCTGGACAAGAATAAAGACCCGCTCAATGAGACCGTGGTAGGCCTGTACCAGAAGTCTTCCCTTAAGCTCCTTGCTTTGCTCTTCTCCAGCTTTTCTACTTCAGAAGCAGGTAAGTACTTTAGATAAAGCCAATCACTGAATTCAATTCAAAAGTCTTTTGCAATATTTTTATGACATACCTTCAGAAGCACCTAAGGACCGACTCAGCTGAAAATAGTAGAAATGAAATTGGAGTCGAAACTAAAAATAGAGCCATTATTTTGTGATGGCAAAAATAAAAAATATAAACTTATAGAGATGGTGTGTTATCAATAATATTTTACCATCAGAGGCATCATCCCTACAAAACATATTATTGAATAATCACATTGCAATGGGACTTTAATGTATGCCTCAAATGGTAGAACACACTGATGTTTAAAATAGAAAAACATTTTATTACAAAGGTATTCCTTTCACAAAATTTAAAATATGTCCATCAAATTGAATGACTTAAAAACCATGTTCATATATGACTTGCATGTCTGATGGTCAATACACCAACTGTAATCATACAGGTTACAAGAAATAAAGTTGATGTATATGGGTCGATGAGTTTCGTAAGAACATCTGCTCCCTTGCGCATTTTTTTTATGCAACTCTGAAAAAATAATAAACAAATAAATTAAAAAAAAAAAAAAAAAAAATAATGAACAAATAGGAAAAAAATTGCAGAAAAATAACAGCTTAGGGGAAAAGGTAAGGGAGTAGTTAATTAGGATTAATTAGGGTTAGTTATGGGTTAATAAAGGGTTAAATATGAATATTCTTTATTTAAAAAAATAACGTTTTATTTACTTTTAAGTTTTAAATGCTGTCTTAAGTACATTATAGGTCAAACCTTTTTACCTATAAATGAATGAAATAGTAATTAAATTGTAGCAATACACTGCTCCATTGTATTACTCATTGCCACTTACAGACTATCTTCATGTGTCATTTTACATTAGACATGTGCAGAATGGAAAATGTTTTTTTCCTTTTGGATAAATGTGTTATGTAACTGATTTCATTTTGTAGGTTAGTTTAGGAATTGGTTTAGTTTCATTTAATTTTGTTTATTCATTTTCTAACAAATGTAACATTTTCAGAACGATTTGAATGGAAAAAAAGCTGCTTGTTAATGAGAGGGGCAGGAAGCAGGCCACCGCGTCCTTAACAACCAATGATTCATTAGCTGTCAGTGGTTTCCCCACTGACAGCTGAATGTAAAAAAAAAAAAAATTGCCTGCAATTAAAAATTAAGGAAAAAAACAGCGTAGGGTTCCCCCCAAAATCAGACCCTTATCCGAGCATGCAGCCTGGCAGGTCAGGAAAGGGGAGGACAAGCGAATGACCCCCTCCCAAACCAGGCCGGTTGGTGGGTGCTCGTGCGTGGTCGCGCGCACAGGTGCAGGTGGGTGCGCATGCGCGGCGGCACATTGGTGCCGAGTGGGCTATTTAAACTGAGCTGGGACCTTGCATCAATGCCATTTGGTCTTTACCCCGAGCATCTGTGTATCCTGCTACCTGTTTACCTATTGCTGATCAGATCTGTCATTGACCTCGCTAGAACGCTGCCTGCATCGACCCCTGGCATGCCCTGTGGACTATGCTTCTGCCTGCCGATTCTGTTTTACTTGCCTGCTAGTTGCTGACCCGGACCGCCTGACCTTGCTTACTCTGATCCTGCACCCTAACTGGCTTAACCCTGCCAGTACATCTACCTGAGCGCCAACTGCCAAACCATTCCAAACCATTCCTGCACTTCTGCCAGTGTATCATCCTCCAGCTGCTCCTGCATTCCTGATGCACGCCAACCCCACGGAAGTCCCAACAGGCACTCGTGCACCTCTGTGCTCCGGCTCTCCCCTATTACTTTTGCAGGGCCCCTGAGCCAGATCCGCAAGGGAGACCCTCCTCTGCAATCTCAGGTTCTACCATTAGGTATGTGACAGACTGCTGTGTAGGGGGGAGGGGTGATCTTTTCCTCCACTCAGGTCTCAGATTACACTCTGCTCCCTGTTCTTTGCTGTGCTGTGTGTGCTTTCACATCCCTGCCCCCTGACTTCTGGAACTGAGACATTTTGTCTAAATTCTGTACTTTAAACGGCTGTAGAGAAGAGAGGTCTGCAGATGAACAAGTAAAACTTATATAGGAGGATCTGTAAACAATTTTGAAAACCATTTCTCATTTTCCTTTCTCTTCACAATTATCTGCCACTTTGTGTTGTTCTATCACATAAAATCCCAGTCAAATACATTGACGTTTTTGGTTGTAACATGACAAAATGTGGAACATGTCAAGGCACCGTATGACCAGAGGCCAGTCACCAGGTATATGTAAGGGTTCACAACCACTCTAACTCAGAGTATAGAAGTAATAGAATCAGAATGATACCAGTCAACTAGCATTTTCAGAAGGAGGGATATGCAATAGCAAATTTCATATTTCTGATTTCTGAAGAATAATCGATAATGGGATTTTCATGGAGTGTTCATTAACATTTATTTTCTGTCCAGCTTCAGGCGGTAAGTCAGGGAGTAAGAAGAAGGGCTCCTCCTTCCAGACCGTCTCGGCGTTGTTCAGGGTCAGTTCAATGAGTGGAATTTGCTAAATGAAATTACCAAAGAAATATATAAAACCGTAACTAAAAACCTTGATTAACATATCCTTCCTACAGGAAAATCTGACCAAACTGATGACCAACTTGAAGACCACCCACCCACACTTTGTCCGCTGCCTCATCCCAAATGAGACCAAGACTCCAGGTAGAGTTCACACTCTGGCAATGACTCAGATACTGAATGTCCCATCTACTGGCCAATTCAATTAGAGAGTCACTGCTCAAAGCTAGTCACAGCACAACAACCTCCAGAGAATCAGTCACCATGTCCACACCATATGATATAAGCTGTACAGAGGCAAACAGGAAACTTCATTACAACAATTATTGGACACGAGGTATGGCACTACCAGAACCTCCATGTAGGATTAATGGCCAACAGGAAATGTCTTGTCTCTGAAGTTGGATCCATAAATCAGAACCATCCTAAATGGACCTGCCATTTACCTTACAAGCCTCCATTAATAAATTCCTAAAATCAGATGACAGGTCCACTTTAAGTCCTTTAAATTCAAGCACATGGATCTATTAGTGTATCAAGGGCTGCTATTAGAACCCACAGCCAACTTGATCGGGCCCCCCACCCCAAGAAAAACAGTTTACTATGCTTTATGAATGAACACAGTGAGTGATCGGTACAGTCATTGTGTTCATTCAGGAAAGGAAGGGGCTGGTAAATGTGACCTATTGTGTGCTTGCAGCTGCTGGTGGGAAGGAGAGGAGGGAAGTCAGCAGCACTGTGGGGGTGAGAGGCACACACGGGAAACTGGCAGGGTGAAATGTATGGTGCACAGGTAGAGTTATGGGTGCAGTGTGGAGGTAATTACTGGAACCAATCCCCTGTATGGCTTTCTCTGTAGCACCTGAAAGCAAGCAGAAGGGAGAGGTGAAGAAGACAGCTTTCAGCTGCTGCAGGGAGAGCCATACAGGGGATTGGTTCTAGTAATTGCCCCTCCCACCATGGCAATCACCCTCCCTGCCCACGTCCAATTCACCCAGCTGCCTGGGCCCCCCTGCTGGCCTGGGCCCCATACAGGAGGACTGGGGGTACCCCCCAGGGGCGGACTGACAACTCATGGGGCCCCCGGGCAATAGGGGATCATGGGGCCCCTGTGTCCTTGCCCAAACTCAAAAAAGCCTATGATAGAGATACCAGGGGCATCTGATGGGGCCCCCTACTGACCCCCCGGGCCCTCGGGCAGTGCCCGAGTTTTCAAATGGTCAGTCCGCCTCTGGTACCCCCTTATCCACAGCCCTGAGTGTATCATAGAATTGACAACCATCCATTTATAAAAATGATAATAATTTCAATGTTGTTGAAATTCTCAGGACACATACAGTACGTTGATTATCTTGGTTTTTCAGTATGATACAGAATTCCTATCAGATAAAGTGAGAGATCCATGTCAGTAGTTATGACCTTCTGTCTACAGGGGAGATGGACAATCATCTTGTCATCCATCAGCTGCGCTGCAATGGCGTCTTGGAGGGGATCCGAATTTGCCGAAAGGGATTTCCCAGTCGAGTCCTTTATGGGGATTTCAAACAACGGTAAATAGAATGGCTAAAGTCTGACTTGTATCTTTGTGCAGCCTTCTGAGAAAATCAGTGAATAAATGAATCAGTAAATACTAGAAAATAATTACACTTTTGGAGAAGTTCTGTACACCAACTGTGTACACAATGCCTCCGTGTTGCCATATTGCATTTTATTTTTTTAGATTTTAAAGGAAATATTCTTTTGAAGAACATAAATTGCACTATGGCTTTTGTAGCAGTTGTACATATGAACTTCACAGAAGTGGAGTTATCCTTTAAATCTCAGAAAATAACATTTTACACATGATAAAAACATTCACAAGGGTATTATTTGCAACTTTTGTTGGTACAGTCACCCAGCAGATTAAAAAAATGACCCTTAAGCCTCTGCCATGCATACTTCTTCAGCTGGCCATTAGACTGCCTATCTGGTCCCCACATACCTCCTGAATTCCCAATAGGAAGCACAATGGCCAACTGAAGGAGCACCCATGGTTGTAAGCCTGAGACAGGAAGTGCTGTTGCTGGCAGGATCTCCAAGTAAGAAACTTTGTAACAAATTTACCAAAAACAATTATTTTTAACTGTATACAGTTAATTTTATATTAAAATTTCTTTTGCCAGGTATAAGGTTTTGAATGCCAGTGCCATCCCGGAAGGGCACTTCATAGACAGTAAAAAAGCCTGTGAGAAGCTCCTGGGCTCCATTGAGATCGATCACACACAGTACAAGTTCGGACATACAAAGGTTGGCGGATCTTCTTCTAGGAAATTAATTAATTGCACAAATTCCTCCCCACAAGGTTCTCCTCTATCTGCTGTCTGAAGCATTGGGGCTCATTAAAAAAATATACATTGTGGTAATCCTCCTTTTTTACCACAAGGCTTGCTGACACATGAGTATACAGTATTGTCAATGGCAGCAGAAGTAATGCGACTTCCCTTGCATGTTTTTGCATTGGTTTTGTATGGAGAGATTTAACTTCTGAGATCACCTCAGTCCCATAATAGTAGCTTCAAGTTATTGGAGGTCAGATAGAGCTGAAGTGTGTGTTGTTAGATTCAGACATTAAATAAATAATGTTCCCCATAACCACTCATCCACTATCCTGGCCTATGCCCAGATGTCCCTTGTTGTGTGCTACTAATAATAAGATACCACCAATGGAATTATATAATCTTGGCCGGATTTCCATTACTGGAGCCTGTAGGCCAGCCTTTCTTAGCAACAAATTAGGGTTCTTCCATAGGTTTCTAGGAGTTCCTAGAGCAATGAGCATTCTTCCTATTGACCACAAATGTAAGGATCATTCTTCATACTGTCAATCAATATAAGGGGCAGTACTCCCACTGATCACCAAAGTAAGGGGCATTCTTCCCACTGATCACCAAAGTAAGGGACATTCTTCCCTCTGACCACCTATGTAAGAAGCATTCTTCTCACTGACCTCCAATGTCAGGGACATTCTTCCCACTAACTACTTATGTAAGGAGCATTCTTCACACTGACCTCCAATGTCAGGAGCTTTCTTCCCACTGACCACCAAAGTAAGGGACATTCTTCCCTCTGACCACCAATGTAAGGAGCATTCTTCCCACTGATCCCCAATGTCAGGAGCATTCTTCCCACTGATCCCCAATGTCAGGAGCATTCTTCCCACTGATCCCCAATGTAAGGAGCATGCTTCCCACTGACTACCTATGTAAGGAGCATGCTTCCCACTGACTACCTATGTAAGGAGCATTCTTCCTACTGACCTCCAATGTCAGGAGCATTCTTCCCACTGACTACCTAAGTAAGGAGCATTCTAGCTACTAACCTCCAATGTAAGGAGCATTATGCCCATTGATCTCCAATTTCAGGAGCAGTCTTCCCACTGATCCCCAATGTAAGAGGCATTCTTTCCACTGATCACCAATGTAAGGGGCCTTCTTCCCACTGACCACTATTGTAAGCAGCATTCTTCCCATTGACCTCCAATGTCAGGAGCATTCTTCCCACTGATCCCCAATGTAAGGGGCATTCTTCCCACTAATCACCAATGTAAGGGGCAATCATCCCATCAACCACCAATGTAAGGAGCATTCTGCCCAGTGACCACCAATGTAAGAAACATTATTCCCATTGACCACCAATGTAAGGGACATTATTCCCACTGAACACCAATGTAAGGGACATTCTTCCCTTTAACCACCAGTATAAAAGAAGCCCTTCTACACTGATCATCAATATAAGGAGGACCTTTTTCAAAGGCCACCAATCTAAAGGAGCTCTTCTTCCCTGCTCATCAATGTAAGAGAGTATTTCACTCACTACAAGCAGTCCTTGAGGCCTAAATGTTGTATCAAGGGCTTCTCAATGTTAAGACAAGTCTTTCTTGTTCATCTTCCAGGTCTTCTTCAAAGCTGGCTTACTGGGTGTTCTGGAGGAAATGCGGGACGAGCGCCTGGCTCAGCTCATCACCCGCACGCAGGCCCTGTGCAGGGGTTACCTAATGAGAGAGGAGTTTAAGAAGATGATGGAGAGAAGGTGGTCATCATCTATATACCTATGCACTATTCCCTCTGATATCATGTCTGTCAATTCACTAGGTGTCTGGTGATCTCCATTTATTTACAACTTTATTAAGTTTTAATTATGCCCTGTAGAAGTTTCTCCTAAGGTGATCCAGGCTCAGGACGTTCCTCAGGGGTTACAGAAAAAAAAATCTGATCATATATAAAAAACGCCCAACTTTTCACTTCTGTGTTAGTTCAAAGGTCACCAAACCGTCTTTTACTTCAGCCACTGTGAGTACACAAAAACTGCCTTCATATTCATTTGTCAAACATTAGCAGAAAGCTGAAATCAGGCTTGCAGTGGGAGTGGCTGCTCTGTAAGCTGATGGGCAGAAAGTGGAAGTACTAAGGTGAGCTCCCATGGGGGGATATATCAAGGTAAGCATCACCAGTGCGTGTCAGGGATCCTCTTGATCCCTGCCGCGATGGTCCCGGCGCAGGCGCACTGCACCGCCCTGTGCGGGGACACGGGCACTAGTTTCGGGCCGGCCGCGGCGTTCGAGTTCGCGCATGCGCAGTAGAAGCCGCGGCCGCCCGCTGGGCACCAATGGCAGCGCAGGGCGGGATATTTAAATGTCCCTGTGCTGTCATTTCAGTGCCTTCTGGTCCTACCTGTATCCTGCGAATCTGAAGCTGTGCCTTGTAAGTTATTTGACCCGGATTGCTCTTGACCTGCTGATTTCTCCTGCCCAGACCCTTGCTTTGCCTGACTTCTCTTCCTGAATGCCCCTCATTAGATCTGACCTACTGTTGCTGACCTGGCGTGTGACCCGACGATTCTCTGCCTGCTCCCTTGTACCTTACCGCCCTCTACGTTACCAACTCGGCCTGTCTGACTTCGCACTTGCTCAGCCCATCCATCCATCCCATCGGGGTCACCCGACCTCCTTACATTTGGCTCTCCCTGGTTGGAGCCCCTGGCGAACACCCCTACCACTGACAGGTGTGCTCAGTAGTGGCGACCTGGTCCTGGGGTACTACAAGTCCATCCCCACCATCAGGGGCCCTGGTGAACAAGTACCCTGGGGCTTAGACTCCGCGCTCTGGGCGCGCCTGACCAGTGGAGTGCTAGTGGTGCCGTCCGGCAGTCCCTCACAGTGTGTGATGTCACTACTATGGTGTAATGTCATTACTAGCCTAAGGGTGAACTGCAGGGCAATGAATAACTGTGGAGGGAAATTAAAGTGTAAGCTCTTTGGGTGCAGAGACTGATGTGAATGTCTCAATCTTCTTTGTACAGCACTGTGGAATATGTCAGAGCTATTTAAAAACTGCATTTTAAAGCGATTGTGAATTTTTATAGTACTGAAGTCTTCCCCTTCCACAAATCAGCCATGTGAATGTGGTCATGAGCCTTCCGATCTCCTCGCTTGCAATGTCAATCTGCCTTTCACAAATAAAAGTAATTTGCAAGTTGATGGATTATGTAGCATTCCTTATTATTACAGATGTCATTTGTGATGTGTTTGTTACAACAGAGATGCCATCACGACCATCCAGTACAATGTCCGATCTTTTATGAACGTCAAACATTGGCCATGGATGAAGCTGTTCTTTAAGATCAAACCTCTTCTGAAGAGCGCGGAGACTGAAAAGGAGATGCAGAACCTGAAAGAAGAGCTTGAGAAAACCAAGGATGAGCTGGTCAAGTCAGAGACCCGGAGGAAGGAGGTAGAGGAGAAACTGGTGGGCCTGACCCAGGAGAAGAACGACCTCCTTCTTCAAGTCCATTCGGTAGGTGGAAGTGCCACTGTAGCTGATGCCTTATTTGATGTTTGTGTGTTCTGTTAATTAAAAAATGAGGAATATTTGAAATAATCGGAATGTTGGCTTAGTGTTGCTGCTACTGGTCAATCTCACTTCTCTACTGCTAATAAGTAGACATAGTGAGGATGACCGCATAGTCTGCTTATTTGACCTACTTGATAGTAATTTTAATGAAGTACTTAATGAAGTGTTATGCTGCAAATATCTTTCAGGTTATTTCTGAATTCTGCTCTGCTGGTGTCACTTCAGCCAATGCTAAAGACTAATGAGATGGTAATTTGCAACTTGACAGATATTTAACACCCTCCTGATCCTATGCTGAGGTTCTTTATGGAGGATGAAACACTTTTAAGATGTGACAAAAGTCACAAAACTGTTATTTGATGGCTGTACCACTTTTCTGTTATGTTCCAGGACACGCAATACCTTCTTCCTTCCCAAATAAACTGTAAAACCATCAAATTAAGAGAAAAAAGTGATCTTTCAAGCCCACAAAAATTGCAAAAAGAAAAAGTAGACACTTTTTTGCTGAGATGTACATTTGTATATTTATATCTGTGTTTTAATGTGATGTCGTAGGGGTAAAAAAATGAGGTAGTATAATGTGGGAAGACAATTATAAATTATTTTGTTTGTGGTCTCCATCTTGTAATCCATATTGAACGTCATATCTTTTCTCTGTAAAATAGGAAGGTCAGAATTTATCAGATGCTGAGGAAAGATGTGATGAACTTATTAAGAGTAAAATTCAGATGGAAGCCAAAGTGAAGGAGCTTATGGACAGGCTGGAAGATGAGGAAGAGATGAGCGCTGATCTAACAGCAAGAAGAAGGAAGCTGGAAGATGAGACCAGCGAGCTGAAAAAGGACATTGACGACCTGGAGTTGACTTTGGCCAAAGTAGAGAAAGAAAAACACGCTACAGAAAACAAGGTATGCACTGCTGAAAATATTATTAAATGTTCTGTTCACTGCTAACCAGTGATGAGGCAAATGTACCTGGGTTCGGTGTGCGGGGATGTTCTGTAACATACGCCAAAGTTTTAATGTTAATCCAAACCCCACTGAAGTCAATGGGAGCCAAAACTGTAAAATCACTTCTGGCCATTTTCAGGCCAATGGATTGTCAAACAAAGGGCAAGGGGAGCTGGGCACTGCCCCAAAGAATATTTACCAACCTTCTTTTTTTTCTTAATTGAATTCAGTTTGGAACACCTCTTTCAATAATCTTTGATGATGATCGGGTATGGCTTTTAAGGAGAACCCCATGCAAAAAAACAACAAGAATAGTTGTGGGGCCACCACACCAAATTTTGTACCAGACCCTTTGAATCTGATGTGACTTCCTGTTGCAACTGAAGGTTTGTCTCAGTGAATGGACAAATAACCCATTTGGTATGCCCATTGGCTGAACAAAAAGCAATATTTTGGACCGAATCTTACTTATTTTTTTGGACTTACTTTTGGGAGAAGTGAGTTGACTGTGGTTTTAACCCCATTTTTTGTGACAATTGTCATAATTTCCTTTCAGGTGAAGAACTTGACTGAAGAGATGGCTGCCCTGGATGAAGCTATTGTGAAGCTCACCAAGGAAAAGAAAGCAATACAGGAGGCTCATCAACAAACTCTGGATGACCTTCAGGCTGAAGAGGACAAGGTCAACTCTCTCACCAAAATGAAGCTCAAATTGGAGCAGCAAGTGGATGATGTAGGTGATCACGAGTATATTTACGTCATATAGAAACTAAAACATCAAATCTCAGTGTGTTATGGATATATTTGATTCAGCTACATAGTTTAGGCTATATTTGGCACCTACAAAACAACTATATCCGGTGGAAACTATAACAGATAATATAGCAATATCTGTTCCCATTTTTTGTTATCTTTAGAAAAAGTCCAAATATAATCTAATGATCATTTTGGTTGTTTTTAAATATGTGCTGGGATTCTTCTGTTAGGTCTTGAATTTATTATAAAAGGTTATGTGTGTAATCAGTATTACCCTGAAACAACGTTTATCAGACGTAACAATGCCACATACCCAATTTATGTTATTTGCGCAGATTTTTTTAAGAAAGGAATATTCACATTTTAGGCCTGATCAGCATTGGTAAAACAAATATTGAGATGGAAGTATTTTATATCCATAACGAATACAGAAAAATGTAATTGTGATGTATTTTGTTTTCCAGCTTGAAGGAACTCTTGAGCAGGAAAAGAAGTTACGGGTTGACCTGGAAAGAATCAAAAGGAAACTAGAGGGGGATCTAAAGCTTTGTCAGGAGACCATAATGGATCTGGAGAATGATAAAGTGAACTCAGAAGAAAGGGTTAAAAAGTATGAAAACATTTTAACACTTTAGTAATGTGATCAAAAAATTTTTTTTTTTCAAAAAGAAAGTCATAATAATTCCTCAGCTAGACATCAGAATGTGTTCTAGTTTTTGTAAACCTCAGAGAACTTTGACAGTAATTCCTGATTTGGTTATTTTAAACTCTGGTAATTCCCATCCAAACAACAAAGGGCAGTTAATGTAAATATTGACCTAATCTGTTCACAAACTGACAAGATTAATTTCACAGTTTACCTGTCTAATTTTCATAGGAAGGACTTTGAAGTAGCCGAGCTCCAGAGAAGAACTGAAGATGAACAAGGTTCTAACACCCAACTGCAGAAAAAAATTAAGGAGCTTCTGGTATGCTGTTTCTTTTCTTTATGGAATTGTATGGGTTCCTTTGATTTTAATAATTAACATCACCTACATCACAAGAGCCATGGCACATGGGCCATTTGCAAATATTCCTTTTTATTCCTACAAGAAAACCAGCAGTGATACCTAATAACAATAAAATATCTAGTAGTAGGTAGTCACATTCACTTGTAATGGACTCCTTTCAATCCACACAATATGATCTGAAAAAACTGCGATTGAAGAACGTCGCACTCCCAACCCGACCGAAGTATGTGTACAAATGCAGTACAGCCTCAGACAGCTCTGCCCGACAAACCACACACCCCCTGCATTTTGCCCCCCCCACCGGGGCTTTGTCATAGAGGTCCGGGGGAATTGGATTCTCCCCTTGCTTAAAGCGGTGCTCCAAGTTCTATCCAGGACCTCTATGGCTAAGCCCCGGTGGCATGGTTTGTGGAGTAGAGCTGTCTGTGGCCATCCTGCATTTGTACACATATTCTGGTTGGGTCTGGAGTGCAGCGTTCTTCCAATACAAGGATCCTGTCACTGTTAGATAAGTTAGTTCACATGCTAGTACCCCTATCTCTGAGGACCAGGGGGATTGAATTCTAACCTTGCTTAGAGCAGCATTCCAAGTTCTATCCATGATCTGAAAAAATGTTTGCTTAATTTTGGTTGGTCACATTCTACTTTAACATATTTGACTGGTCACTTATCAGAATCACAACTTTTGTAGAATCCAAATACAACTTTTTACACTAGAAGTCACCATACGTATAATACACCTACATTACTGTTGTGTCTTTACTGATGGTCATTGCAAAGTATTATATTCAGAAGTGTCCAGTCTTGATGTTGCCCTTTGTAGCCCAAAGAAGCAGACATCTGATAAGAAAGTTCAATGAACATTCCATCTACTGCAAGTTGTGTTCTCCTGAACCTTGCCATCTATCTGTCATTCAGAAATCCATGGTGATATACATAAAACACTTTGGAAAACAATGAACTAAAAAGTCAGTTACACTACTTTAACCTCCATTAAAGCACATCTGTCCTTTTCTTCAGGCCAGCAATGAAGAACTGCATGAAGAGATTGAATCAGAGCGAGCAGCTCGAGCTAAGATTGAGAAGCAGAGAGCAGAACTGTCCAGAGAACTGGAAGATATCAGTGAGAGGCTGGAAGAAGCTGGCGGGGCGAGCGCTGTCCAAGTGGAAATGAATAAAAAGAGGGAATCTGAATTCCAAAAGATACGGCGAGACCTGGAGGAATCCACATTGCAGCATGAATCAGTTGTGGCCGCTTTGAGGAAGAAACAAGCTGATGGAATGGCGGAGCTGGGAGAGCAAATTGAAAACCTCCAGCGTATCAAGCAGAAGCTTGAGAAGGAAAAGACTGAACTGAAGATGGAGGTTGATGATCTTGCTGGGAACATGGAGTCTGTGGTCAAGTCCAAGGTGAGAAACACAGATGGAGTCCAGATAATTAACCTTTATGAGCTTTTTGGATGTCCTATTCTACAGCCATGGCCATTAATTTGGAGTTGTTCAACCATTTGGGGTCATAACAGCCTCCACTGTTCTAGGAAGGCTTTCTAAAAGACTTTGGGGTGTGTCTTTTGGAATTTGTGCCCATTTGTGAGGCCAGGTACTGATATTGGACAAGAAGACCTGACTCACAATTGGGATTCCAATTCATCCCAGAAGTGTTTGGTAGGGTTGAAATCACAGCTCTGTGTAGGTCACTTGAGTTTCATAATCATATGATAGATAAACATATGATAAATATGGTTATAGTACAGCCGTAAGGAAGGTCTGAATGGTACTCTTTATGTAAACGCCAAGCAGTATCATCAGTCTCTACCAAAGTTGGTAATTCTCACCACAGCTGAGTAACATGAGAGTGTTTCTACCCAAAGTTGGTCCATTACTTCACTCTTAAAAAGCCAAGTATTGATTTCATAATGTTGAAATGTTGTAAAACGTGATATTATTACCTGGTATTCCCAAATTGCTTAATAACTCTATCCTTAATTTAGGCCAACCTAGAGAAGACGTGTCGGGTTCTGGAGGACCAATTCTCTGAGATAAAGGCTCAGAATGAGGAGAACCTGCGACTTATGAATGATCTCACAACCCAAAAAGCCCGCCTGCAGAATGAGCATGGTTTGTATGTTTAACTGAGTATGATATAAAATTAAGCTGCTGGTGTGCAAAAATGAGAGGCAACCAAGGGGTTGATTTACTAAAGGCAAATAGGCTGTGCACTGCAAAGCACACTATAAGTTCACTTGGGAGCGCACTGCAAGTGCACTGAAAGTGCAGTTGCTCTAGATCTAATGAGGACATCCAAGGAAAATAAAGAAACTGCTTTTTTTCTTGTACATGATTAGATAAAAGAAATCATCAGAGCTTCCCTTTGGATCCAAAGCAAATGCACTTGCCGTGCAAAGTATATTTACCTTTAGTAAATTAACCCCCATAAGTTTCACTAACTGTGTAAAAACACTCAGAAATATATGATATATTTTTCCCAATTTTTTTGCTGAACTATTTTTTAATATTTTATGGCACCTAATTAATTTTTTTCTTTCTTTATATTTTCTGATTCTATAGGTGAACTAACTCACTTGTTGGAAGAGAGAGAAGCTTTGATTTCTCAGCTGACAAGAGGCAAAATGACCTTTACCCAGCAGAATGAAGACCTCAAAAGATTGCTGGAGGATGAAACAAAGGTATGACATGGTGGACCACCCACCAACTGTGAAGACAACCAAACAAGGATTTAAAATAAAAAATATCATGTCGTTTGTTTATTTATTTTTATCAGGCCAAGAGTGCCCTTGCCCATGCTCTCCAATCTGCTCGCCATGACTGTGATCTTCTGCGTGAACAGTATGATGAGGAACAAGAGGCCAAGTCAGAGTTACAGCGCACATTATCAAAGGCCAACAATGAGGTTGCAACGTGGAGAACCAAGTACGAAACTGATGCCATCCAGCGTACAGAGGAGCTAGAGGAAGCTAAGTAAGTAACAATACATAGTGTTGCCAATAAAAACATTTGAAACCCGAACCAGCATAACAACTATATATACATAAGTAGTTTTTGGAGGACTGTGTCATTCTTCTATAATGCTATACCTTAGGAAAAAACTTGCTCAGCGTCTACAGGAAGCAGAGGAACATGTTGAAGCTCTCAATTCCAAATGTTCATCTCTAGAGAAGACCAAACAGAGGCTTCAGATGGAAGTTGATGACCTAATGATTGATGTAGAGAGGTCAAATGCAGCAGCAGCAGCTTTAGACAAAAAGCAAAGGAACTTTGATAGGGTACATTCTCATATTGTTTTTTGAAATACCTTTTTATTAAGAGCTTGAACTCTCCTAAGAGAAGGAAAATGTAAAAAAAATGTAAACAATATAAAATGGTTAGTCCCCAAGTAATGGCCATTTTTGTGCTCCAGGTTATAGGTGAGTGGAAGCAAAAATGTGAGGAGTGCCAGACCGAGCTGGAGCTCTCTCAGAAGGAATCGAGAAGTCTGAGCACAGAACTTTTCAAACTGCGTAATGCCTATGAGATGGCCCTGGAGCAGCTGGAAACAGTAAAACGAGAGAACAAGAATCTCCAACGTATGTGTCAGTTTTGCTCAGCAAACCCAGAATTTCTGCAGTTTCAGCATCTGGATAGTGTAGGAGGTGATATTAATCTTCCTGAATTCTGTCTTTACTGTAGAGGAAATATCAGACCTCACCGATCAGGTTGGAGAGACAGCAAAGACCGTCAGTGAGCTGGAGAAAGCTAAGAAACAGGTGGAGCAAGAAAAAGCTGACCTGGTGTCTGCTCTGGAGGAAGCTGAGGTGTGTGATAGATATACTGGTGCTTTTATATCAACTAGACTTTTTATAGACAAAAAAATCTAGTTATACAGTAGTTTTGTAATACAAACGAGTTATTGGGCCACATGCAGGTATGAAATACCTACAATATTAAAGTGGCCATGTGACCAACTTGTAGACATCATCACAAGCCTGAGGTCTACAGGGGACTATTGTTATGGTTGCTTTAGCCCTTTGGAGAGCTCCTAGACAAGCTGTTGTCACCAGAATTGCGTGGAAAGTCCCCCATATCTCTTGAAAGAGTGTCCTTTGGTTTGTATTTGTTGTAATTTGCTGTTACTTGAGGTCTTTTAGACAAAAGATGTGACAACAACACCTTAAAAATGTAAGGAGATAATATATCATAGATCTTAAAAAAAACGTCTACAGTGAGAATTGGTAAAGCAGGATGAGTTGTACAGTGGGTTTTGTAGCTGCATCATCCTGATCACTATAAATAATCCACAATGACACAATAAATTCTCTATTCAGGGAAGTCTTGAACATGAAGAAGCCAAAATACTTCGTATCCAGCTGGAACTGAACCAGGTAAAGTCAGAGGTGGACAGAAAAATTGCTGAGAAGGATGAAGAGATTGACCAGCTGAAGCGGAACACTCAGAGGACCATTGATGCCTTGAACAGCACTTTGGAATCCGAGGTCAGAAGCAGAAATGATGCCCTGAGATCCAAGAAGAAGATGGAAGGAGACCTCAATGAGATGGAGATGCAGCTGGGTCACTCCAACCGACAGGTGGCCGAGAGTCAGAAACAGCTGAAGAACCTGCAGGCCCAGCTCAAGGTCAGTGATACTGGCCATATTCTCTGTGTACAATGTAATGTGATTTTATTGTAATGTGTCTAGGTAAAATGTTGTAAAAGATGAATGTTTTATGACTAAATGTATCAAGAGGTCCAGGCCTCTGTGGCTCTAATATTCTCATTGGCATTGATTTTGTATAGTTGACTGTAAATGGTTGTTCTTTAATATACAAATATTTGAGGTAAAATGTGTTTTCATCACAGGACTTGCAAATACAGCTTGATGATCTGGCCCATGCCAATGAGGACCTTAAAGAGCACCTGGGTTTAGCTGAACGTAGGAATAACTTACAGCAGACGGAAATTGAGGAGCTGCGAAATGCTCTGGAGCAAACAGAAAGAGTTAGAAAACTGGCAGAACAAGAGCTGCTGGATGTCACAGAGCGTGTGCAGCTCCTACACAGCCAGGTACAGTCCAGCCTGGAGAGGTCATCTTAGGTCAGATGTAGACCTGTGTAGGCTTACATGTGCTTGGTATGGCCATGTCTAGTCAAGCAATTTTCTTGGCCTTGTTTAATGATATCCTGGAATGAGCTGAACCTATTACATGACAAGTGACTTTCCCAATTTGCTCTTAAAAATTATTTTGCCTTATTCCTTCTCTGTGTTACTAGTGAAGGAGGTGGATGCCCTCATTTTTGCACTAGAACCAATCAACAGGGTTGATATACAGGTCCCCACCATTCATGTACCACCCTGTTGCCGAATTTTGTTGCATTCCAACACTGCACTGATGAGCTGTTTGTTTCTACCAAACATTGCTAGAACTGACGAAGGCCTGCACCAACTGCTCTAAGAAGGAAGATGTATGGCACAGTCAAAAATACTCAAATCAAACGAAACCAGCCATTCTCAACCTAGGTTCCCTGGAACCCTAGGGTTCCTCCAGACATAACTAAGGGTATCTTAAGCTGTGGCTGATTGACCTTCCATCTGATGGTGTCTGGATAATTCAGTGCCCAATGCCCCATGGGAGCACTACCAGCATGACCCCAAATATCTTTTTAGCCATTGGTAAAGGTGGCATTGTAGCCACCACTGTAAGGGTTCTTCTCATTGACCACTAGTTTTGTGTCCTCCAACTTATCTCTAATACAGTCTCCGACCTCCCACTTTTTGTATTTCTATTCCCGACCCCAAAGCTCAGTGGAGCACTGGAGTACAGAAAAGTAGGAGCTTGGATAACGGATGAGTCAGAAGATGTCATCTCTACTGACCGCCAATGTAAGGGGCATTATCCCATTATAAATTGATTTTAGCAGGCGTTCCCTGAGACCTAAAATTTATTTTAAGAGTTCCTTTGGAGAAAGGTTATACTAAACTTTCATAAATGTAGTTGAAGGTAAAAAATTAATAACCACTTACATGGACCAGTTTGGTTTAACAGAAATATAATTTTCCCTTTCTTTGTGAACATCAGAATTCCTTTTTTAATTCTTCTTTTTCTAGCTGTAAAGAAACCTTTCACCTTTTGAAAAGGTTTATGTGCACATCTGCTTCGCATCAGTTTCTGTGAAAGACTACTGTATATTTCACAGCTGTTAGAGTAAAGAACCCTCAGAAGGTGAAAATTAAGTTTTTCGATTTTCCAACCACAATGGGTGCCTATGGGTCTTTTCTGGTTACCTTAAAGTACACCTATGCTCAGACTTTAAACTGGATATTTAACTATTTACATATTCTTAACATGCAGTAAAAGAGCATTAAACAAGCCACCACTGACCTCTCTAGCTGCTTTTAATAATAATGTATTAATTCTCAAAGATCCTTGAAAATCTCAATAAAGACTCTAAAGTCTGCAAAGTGTTTACAGTAGATGGTTAGACGACTGGAGTTATGAATTTTGAAAATAATTGATCCAGGGACAGGTTCATCTAAAGCAAATTTTCTATCTATTCCCTTAAGTTATATCTTCTCAAGTATTCAAAAGTGTTTACATAACTTTTCAGTCAAGGTCTTGTCTGTCCCATTGCCTATGTTACTCAAACACAAACATACAGTCTGTCCTCCCTATGTATATGTAGCTCTTTAGTAACCATATGAATGTATCTGAAATATTTAGAACACGGGTCTGATTAACGCCAAGAAGAAATTAGAGGGGGATGTCAGTCAACTCCAGGGTGAGGTGGAGGATGCCATCCAGGAGATGCGTAATGCAGAAGAAAAGGCCAAGAAAGCCATCACAGATGTAAGATATTGTAAAAATTGTCTGTCTTATCTCTATATGCTGACTTGGACAATAAGAGGACATTGAATAGCGGACAAAGACCTTCCAAATCTTCATTCATGTTTCATATAACTAACACTGTGACTGTACATTATACAGTTTTAAAAGTGTAAGTTGCTTTTTCTTGGGTAATGGCAACAATAGCTTCAATGAAACCCTTTTGTCCCAAAATTACAAGGTCCTTTTCACAAAGGAAACAATCACCTCAAGCAAGGTCCTTTACCCAAAATCTATGATACTGTTTTTCACTTTCTTAGTATGAAATAAGGTTTAACCACATTATCCTGTTGTTCACTTTAGGCTGCCATGATGGCGGAGGAGCTGAAAAAGGAACAGGACACCAGTGCTCACCTGGAAAGGATGAAAAAAAACATGGAACAAACAGTGAAGGACCTTCAGAATCGACTTGATGAAGCTGAGCAGTTGGCACTGAAAGGTGGAAAGAAACAACTTCAAAAACTAGAGACCAGGGTGAGTGGAGCTGCATTTAGATATCTAAATTTATTGTGAGTTTAAATCTGAACATTTCATTGAAATAAAACACACAACTGAATTGAGGAAGCTGTGCCTAACAGACAAGCAGAGGTCAAAGGATTAGCTACTAATTTTGCCTGTGCATACCCTGCAGATGATCTTTTCCCAGTTACTGACTTATCATACCTTCTGCACTGTATCCCTGTTTTATGGAAGCCACCTCAGTAGAAGAGTAGGGCCTTGCTTATTTATATCCCCAATGACTAATGGGGTAATGATAGAGGTGGAGGAAGCACAGATCCACCAAGTGATCAAATCAGAAGCAGGGAGATCCTTGTACTGCTAGTCCTCAGGTACAGTTTCTTCTCCAGCAAGGAGAGCAGTGAGTAGAACTGTAGTAACCTCACTTAATCACTCTCCAAATCTGCTGAGACTATCTGTCAAGATGCGGTATTGTCTAAGATGATCTCGCATTGAAGATGTACAGTGAGGCTGTAGAACAGGTATGCCTAGGCACAGGAAATGCACTGGTATTTTTCAGAAGGAAATTAGAATCAAAGGTAAATATTTCAGGGTACTGCCTATGCTCAATTAACATTTCTAGATGTTCCCTATAACACAGCAAATCTTATGTTTTTTAGTTTAGGTCCAGTTTAACTAAAGACAAAGATCAATTGTTTTTACTACAACCCTGCAATCTGATGAGGTGTGAGGTATGGTCTACAAAACGTCTTCTGGGAACTGCAGCAGTAACTCTGGCAATAATTTAATTGGAAGACATTTGGGCCCAGATTATAAGAAGTGAGCTGTATGACTTAAACAGGTTCTTTGTGGTATTTTTCTTTTTATGTAGTATGCTAACAAAGTGAAAATATTTCTGGAACTACTATAGAGCTCTTGATGAGCACTGTAAGGAGCGTCTCCTCCCATCATCAGATTTTGGCCAGTTTTTAAAGCAAAACTACACTCCCTTTTCCCGGTGATGCTGTGTCTGTGACAAATGCGGTGCCCGACCCCTGCCTTTCTCACCAACTCGTGAGCCAATCTCACACCGTGCTGTCACTTGAGTAACAATGCCACTCTCAGCTGCACCCTACACAAAGATTTTCCAGCTTGCGGGACCACAATCTGTGTGCCAGCAGCCTGAGAGCGATTGTTACTGGGTTAATTAATTATCCCTTCAAACTGCAACCAGATAGCTTTGGGCCTAGCAACCCTTCACAATGTTAGCAAGAACAAATGTGAACAATAAATGTCTGTAACAGGGGCGGACTGACCATTTGGAAACTCGGGCGCTGCCCGAGGGCCCAGGGTCAATAGTGGGCCCCATGAGATGTCCCTGGTACCTTTTTCATAGGCTTTTTTGAGTTTGGGCAAGGACACAGGGGCCCCATGATCCCCTATTGCCCGGGGGCCCCATAAGTTGTCAGTCCGCCCCTGGTCCGTAACATACACTGTCACCACAGACGGATATATTCAAAGGATTATTACATATAGTAGCACTCTTCAAGAGACAGGGATTCTTTAGTTTGCATTAAAAGCCTTGGAGATAATTTTAACACTTTTCAAAATAGGATTTATTAATGAAAAGGTGAAATAGTTAAATTAAAATATTTACAGGATGGGATGTTACAAAGACATAAAGAGAACAATAATGCAGCAGAGCAATAAAAGAAAGTTCAGAAGGCAGAATACTTGCAAAGTCTTGGTTTAAGCAGAGTCCAATTGTCCGAGCAAAAACATTGCCTTGGCTCTCAAGTCTGTTAAGATGTTCTTTGGTTGAGGTTAACCTCTTGGCGCCGGCCGAACGCAAATGTGCGGCCTCCCGACATCTGCGCGGCTCCCAGCACACATGTCCGGTACTCACAGAAAGGTCTCCTCTTTCGATCAGGACCTTTCCCGATCATGTGACCGCCGTGAGGGCGTGTCACATTGGTCACTTGACCCCAAACCCCGCCTCCCAGCTTCTGAAACCCTTAAAGGGCCAGGAGGCACCGGCGCCAAGGGGTTAAACACGAGCTAGCTTACTAGATCCTGTCAGTTCCTTTCTATGATATCAAAGGGGTGTCGCCCAAGAACAACTGACCAATCATTCAGTTTACGGATGAGTGCTAGGAAATCACCAAATTTTTTGACCAAGTCCCAACTACAGTTTCATACTAATATTAACAACTTCCAATACGTGCAGGTGGTATTATAGCAACTGGCAGATTGATATTTAGAATTATATTTTGAACCCAGGGATACCAAACACAGCATACTTTTGTCACCCAGGACTGCTTTCTCTCCTTTCCTATGTACTAACACAGTCATGTATGACCTTGATTTTTTCGGTATGATATTCCCTTTTCAAATACTGTATATACCTAATATTAATGTGCCCTGTTCCTGTTGAATTCTATGAATTGTATATGGAATTGTTAAGTTGTGGAATAGACGTTTTATGGCACGCTCTGCATTCATTGAGCCTTAATGGCTTTACAGGTCATGTGTGACAGCTTGACTAAGTTTTTATTGTTTTATGATAGGGCAGAGGAAAGTGTTTTCCATGGTTAGTGGAAACAGACATCCTGCCAAGACTAATTAGCCGTTTACAGCCTGGCCAGCTCTGTGTTTTCATTAAGATAAGAGGTTCTTTTGAAGTTTATTAAAAAATACTGCTACAAATTCCATAGTTTGCAAGGGATGGGGGGGGGGGTGTAGGAACACTTCTTATGAAACCAAAATGCTGAGACCGTAACAAGATAGCATGTCACGTGCAGCTCCATGTCTCTGTTGTGCACAATTGTTACAGTGCCCACAAACTCCTTCACCGACATCTTTCGGGTTTAGGATCTTCAATTGGCTTTGCTGGGCTGAAATTATGTAATGGCTACGCTCATGCAGGGAATTTCTTTCATCCCACCACCTGGCAGATGCTGGGATTGTAAACCTCTTATGAGCAGCTCAGTGTACATTGTCAAAAAGATTGTAAGAAGTAAAAATCTTTCATTTTAGAAGAGACACAGGATGTCCCTACTGGAAGATTTCTCCTCTATTCCTGTTCTGGTGACAACTCAAATTTCCCATTAGTTTGTGTCCTGCTAACAATGGTCACCAATACAAATGGAAAAGGTGAATTTCCCTAATGAGGGTTTTACAGGGTTCTAACCCTTCCACACTCTATCCAAAAGAATTAAAAATATGTATTGGGGTAAGACGCTAGTTGGGTCCATAGTGAAAAGTATACCTTATGGCGCCGCTCCAAGCTATGGAATGAAGGCGAGAAGCAAGTGAGAAGATGGGAGCATGAGTCCAAGGGATTCCAGTGTCAGCCAATACAAGTGAAGGGTTGGACGCTGCTCAACCGACCTCAGGAGTCCAATGTTGAGGAATGGCCTCAGCCGCCTATCTGGCCACGCCCTGTGATGCTTTTCTCCCTGACCGCTGGGGCTTGGTCACAGAGCTCACTAGTTGGGTCCAGTTAATATCTTCTTCATGGAAGGAGAACCAAAAATTTGAACTTTCAAACAGCATTAAAAGTATCTCATTGGTGAAAAATAAAAGGTGAAATAACATGTAATCTGGCTAATAAATGATAAGTATAAATTCCCACCCCATCCCACCCAGTGATTCTGGAATATTTGGTCCATTCTGGCCAAAGTCCTTTAACTGGCCAAATCTCAGCTTCTTTTACTATTAATAAAAGTCAAATTTCCTTGTTGTGTCTGTGTCCTGGTATGTTTTTATCATAAAAATGTTTGGTCATGTGACTCTCACAGGTTCGCGAACTGGAAAATGAACTGGAGGCAGAACAGAAGCAGAGCAGCGAAAACACCAAGGCATACAGGAAGGTGGATCGAAAACTGAAAGAAGTGATCTATCAGGTATGACACTGATACATTTCTGAAGACAGAAGCTGGAAACATCAAACATTGGAACCCAGCCACTATATAGATAGGTAAGGATGTGGCTTCAGCCTAAACTCCTCCTGGCTATGCCACCCCCCCCCCCCACGGAGCTTAATCATAGAGATCTCTTTGATTAAACCCTGTAGGCGGGGTGAAACATGTCAGAGGGATATAGCCAGGAGGAGTTTAGGCTGAAGCCGTATCTTTACCTTTCTATACAGTGGCTGAGTTCCCGTGTGCGGCGTTTCCACCTTCTGTCTTCCAATCTGCCATTGCTAGCCTGGATGAGCTTTTTTAAATGCCAGCACCCAATCTGTGCTTTGGACTGCAGGGGAAGGTTTTGTAGTGTTTTGAGTGACATTTTATGTTCTTTGTGTATGGGTCTGAATGATACATTTCTGTCTTTTCTCATATATGTACACATTTGTACAACTCTCCATCCATAATTGGCCGTCTATAGATGTAGATGGGTCCTAAGACCTAATATGTCCACTTACTGACTTGGCAGAATCCACAGACAGGTTAACTCATCAATAGGACACAGCTTAGCTTTATTTCAGATAATTGCAGAGAATGTTGTTCTAGTTTTTTGAAGCGTAAGAAGACAAAGACTTCCCTAAAACCTGGGTTAATCATTCGCACTGCGTAAAGAGGCTGTTTGATCCTGTCTTCTCTTATTCTCCCCTTCTTCTACTGTCCTCAATCTATCTGCTGATAGTACAGAGTCCTAGGAGTCACCCTGCACATGCTCAGTTTAGTGTGTATGGCTAGAGAGGGTAGAGAGGGTTTTTTTTTTTTGGGGGGGGGGGGGATTCTTTGGGAGGATGCATGTGATCAGCACAGGCCCAATCAGCACTGTCCAGACAGAAAGTTGGTCAGGGGTTATCCAGCCTTATAGGACAGTCAGAGCAGAATGCAAACTCCTCCTGCAAGCTTTAACCAGTGCTCAGCTGGACACTGATAGAAGTCACAGGACTGCTATATACCGCTGATGAGAAAAGGCATTTAGCAGTTTATATTTACTAAAATAATTGCATTTCCATGTTCTGTGTACTGTGGGAGACCAGATATAGTGAATGCAGGGACCAGGGAGACCAGATATAGTGAATGCAGGGTCCAGGGAGACCAGATATAGTGAATGCAGGGTCCGAGGAGACCGGATATAGTGAATGCAGGGTCCTGGTAGACCAGATGTAGTGAATGCAGGGTCTGGGGAGACCGGATATAGTGAATGCAGGGTCCGGGGAGACCAGATATAGTGAATGCAGGGTCCTGGGAGACCGGATATAGTGAATGCAGGGTCCGGGGAAACCAGATATAGTGAATGCGGGGTCTGGGGAGACCAGATATAGTGAATGCAGGGTCCGGGGAGACCAGATATAGTGAATGCAAGGTCCGGGGAAACCAGATATAGTGAATGCGGGGTCCGGGGAAACCGGATATAGTGAATGCAGAGTCCTGGCTTTAGTAACACTTTAACTATTTAACTATGCAGCAGGGTGAGGCAGGTTATGTCTAAATAAAGACTATACTACGTAGAGACAAAACGGTGGAGACAGAGAAACCTACCAAATTTGATAAAGACACATTAGACAGGCTGCTATAGCTTCCTTGAGTCTTTCTTTCTCACTCTCCACTGTATCATTATCATCAATGATGACCACGTTTTTTGGGTGACATCAATATGGAAACTGTCCTGGCACTGCATCTTCTCCTCTCCAGCTCCTCTTTCTGGTGGCCTCTACTAATCTTTTAAAATACGTTCTTTTATCTATTTAATTTTTTCTTTTATCTATTTAATCTCCTGGTGCTCTCGCTATATGAGAATAGAAGGTTAAGATGTTCAGTATATTGCAAGAAAATAGGACATAATAGACAGGTGGCTATGGTAGCACGATAAATATAAAAGGGAGAGGTATATTTCCTTGTGTCATCTTTCACGCTCTAAACCATGCCACTATAATCAATTATGGCCAGGTTTGGTGGATGGCATCAATAGTAAGCTGTCCTAACTCCGTGTCTTCCGGTTCTTCTCTCTGGTGGCCTCTTAGAATACTTTCTGATATCATGTAATCTTCTGGTTGTCATCACTTTATGATGATAGAAGTTTCAGATGTTTTTTTTAATCAAACATTTTATTCCTTCTTATTGACCAGGCAGAAGAAGACAAGAAGAACGTGGTCCGTCTGCAAGACCTAGTAGATAAGCTTCAGGCGAAGGTCAAGTCCTACAAAAGACAGTCGGAGGAATCTGTACGTAGTTATAGTTGTTTAGTGAAATTTGTTCCTATCCAATCAATGACTGCAGACAAAATAAACATAAATATTGTATTCGTTTGTTGCATATTAGGAAGAACAAACCAATGTCCAACTGTCAAGAATGAGAAAACTACAGCATGACCTGGATGAAGCGGAGGAGAGGGCCGACATCGCCGAATCTCAACTCAACAAGCTGCGAACCAAGAGCCGCGACTTTGGTGGGAAGGTGAGCAAAGATTCATTTAAGGGCCAATTCACACTGACTTGCACTAAAATGTATGGAAAATGTATGTACATTTCCATCCATTTTAGTCATGATTTAATGCACTCTGACGTCTGTTGACATACATTTTGACATCCGTTGACATGCAGCATTATGGTGTGAAATTGTTTTTCAAATGTCCTTCTGTTGGTCTGCGTTTTACAGCTGCACTAAAACGCAAATCAACGCACTGGTGTGACTTGGCTCTAAAGGAATTGCCAAACTCATTAATTTTGGTTGTAGTTAGGCAGAGTCTAATTCAGTTACCATATTTATTGATTATTGCCCAAAAGCACTTCTTTTAACATATTTGTTGGCGGTCTAATGACCATAACTTTTCTCCTCCATACAACAGCTGTGAGTGGGATTTAGATGTGCCGCCCATTGTAAGCTTCTCACAGTATGCAATAGAAGCCTGCAACAAGTAAGACTGAGCCTCTCCTCATTCCTGACCTGGAGAAAGTCCAGGATCATCTAACCCTCCATCCTCTGTTGATTGACCCTGTCCTGCCCCTTTCATTCATTGGATTTCAGTTATTTCAGTTATTGAGGCTTGGCATCTTGTATTGGGGGTTTCCTAGGGTGATCTGCATATAAATACCTAGAAACGCCCACTCCTCCAGACTGGCATCCACTAATCAATTCCTGGATGAGTAATGAGGAGCACCTAGAACAAATGATCATATCATTTAAAAAGTCTTCTGAAAGTTTTTGGTTATGTCCATCAGATACAGGCATTCCTTTTTGTGTAAAAGTTCTCTCCCTTCTTATAACTAGAGTATGGATGTCAATAAAATCAGGACGGAATGTCCTAGAAGACCTGATTTAGGACTTGATGGAGAATAGTGTCTCCTGAAAGCACTTTGAATGGCTGGCTGGGTCTGAACCATCAAAGCATTTTGATATTTGCATAATCCCTTTCAAGAGCCATCAAGACTGATGGCTCTTGTGAGGAGTACTCAAGCAGAGTGTGGTCCATTATGGTATTTCAGGAATAACTTGTCTTTCTTCTCTGCAGGGGAAAGAAGGAGATGTCTGATCGAAAATGTGAATCCTACATGTGTCCTGTGAATCGGCCTCTTTTGATGATGCTTTTTAAGAGGTAGACAATAAAGTGGTTTTGCCAGAAAGTGTTTCTGAGTCTTCGTTCCTGGTGTGTAAAGTGTTGGGGTCACTTTATCATTTCAAACAGGAAATCAAACATTAGACCTGCAGATAGTACAGTATGTAGAGTGTTCAGAATTTGTCACTTGTGGTTGGGGAAAAGCCCCAAATTTCTGTACACAACAAGGTGAAGGTGAGGGTTATTGAATAATGCGAAAATGTCACTACATCCTTCCCCAAGAGTGCCAAATAAGAAAGACAGATCAACTACATCCTTTCTCAAGTATGCCCAATAAGGAGGACAGATCAACTACATCCTTTCTCAAGTATGCCCAATGAAGGACTGATCAATTGACCCTATAGAACAGTAGTCTCCAAACTGTGGCCCCAGGGGCCAGATGTGGTCCTTTGCTTGCGTTTATCTGGCCCTTGGGGCACTATTCCACCAACTGACACCAATGATGGGACACCCTACTGTAACCATGAATGGGGCAATATTCTTCTCAATGGTATCAACAATGGGGCACTATTTATACCATTAAGACCAATCATGGGGCACTGATGAATTTTCTAAGCCCACTGGCCACAATCTGGACCACCTAAAGTCTGAAGGACAGTAAACTGGCCCTTTGCTTAGAAAGTTTGGAGACCCCTGCTATAGAAGAAGAACCAAGATAGCCTAATGGGTAAAGGAACATATTATCCATCACCGTTAGAGGAGATCCTCATAGGAACTTAATGGATAGGCCACCTGCATTTATCAAGACAAGTGCCCAAAAATGTTGGGAACTTTATTCATCTATACCCTGACCCTAACCTTGACTCTGACCCATCATCAGGAAGAGTGGAAGCAACATATATACAATGTAACAAAGTTAAAGGCTAACTTCAGGCACGAAAAAACCCTTGCTGTGGCCTCCCACACTACAAAGGTTTAATGTTCAATAAATCTAGGAGGAAGAAGCTGTATTACTTACTTCCTCTTCACTCCAGTAGGCTCCTTCGATCTGTGCAACCAATCCACCACAGCCTCCTCTGTAAGCTACTTTTGGCCACATTACATGCTCACCCCCATCATGTACAATACAGGTCCTGCTTTGTACATGATGATGCCAAGGCTCTACCAACAGACCAGAGCTTCTGACAGAAGAGAGCAGCACAACATAAAGCTGAACCCCAGGATGAGCAAATATTGACTAAATACATTTTTCATGTGTATATTCCCTTGAATCCTGGTATGCTTTGTGTATTTCCTCCAGATCTGTGCAGTAATCCAGTGTGAGATTTCTGCTCTGTGCAGGAGTTTCCTGTAATAAAGACCGCTCACTGCTGCTCTCTCATCTTGTGCAAAGTGACTGGTCTTGTCTCTGCCCCTCATGTAGTTTTCTTCAATTGGTGGAGCCTACTGGCCCATTCTACAGCTTTGCTCTCTGAGCAGGTTATGTTCAGCACAATGATGATGTCACTATTATAAAACCTTGGTTAGCAAAGAAATTTAGTGCACACAAATTGTATTCATATCCTTTATGGCTATTGAGTAATATATTTGAATAAAAATGTGTGCCTGGAGTTCAGCAATAAGAAATGGGCGGGTGACAACTCCACTGTGCGATTTCACTGCAAAATGAAAAGTGTTGTCAACCTGATACAGGAAGTAAAAAAAAAAAACAACTTCTATGTTAGTGTTTCTAAACCCAGGACCCTGCATTCACTATATCCACTCTCCCCGGACCCTGCATTCACTATTTCCGGTCTCTCAGGTCCCTGTATTAGCTGTATCTGCTCTCCCCGGACCTCGCATTCACTATATCTGGTCTCCCAGGACCCTGCATTCACTATATCTGGTCTCCCCAGACCCTGCATTCACTATATCCAGTCTCCCCTGACCCTGCATTCACTATATCTGGTCTCCCAGGACCCTGCATTCACTATATCCGCTCTCCCCGGACCCTGCATTCACTATATCTGGTCTCCCGGGACCCTGCATTCACTATATCCGCTCTCTCTGGACCCTGCATTCAATATATCTGGTCTCCCCGGACCCTGCATTCACTATATCTGGTCTCCCAGGACCCTGCATTCACTATATCCGCTCTCCCCGGACCCTGCATTCACTATATCTGGTCTCCCGGGAGCCTGCGTTCACTATATCTGGTCTCCCCGGACCCTGCATTCACTATATCTGGTCTCCCCGGACCCTGCATTCACTATATCCGCTCTCCCTGGATCCTGCATTCACTATATCTGGTCTCCCTGGACCCTGCATTAACTATATCTGGTCTCCCAGGACCCTGCATTCACTATATCCACTCTGCCCGGACCCTGCATTCACTATATCTGGTCTCCCCGGACCCTGAATTCACTATATCTGGTCTCCCCGGACCCTGCATTCACTATATCTGGTCTACCCGGACCCTGCATTCACTATATCTGGTCTACCCGGACCCTGCATTCACTATATCCGCTCTCCTTGGACCCTGCATTCACTATATCTGGTCATTGCTCATTAACATTTCTTTTGTTTCCAAGGGTGGGAAGGTGACTGGGGGAGGGAGTCATTAAGGTCACCTGGCAGGGGGTCTTCATGAGGAATTTGAGGAGTGAATGGTCATTAACATATATTTTGTTTCCAAGGGTGGGAGAGGTCTGAGGTGTGAATTGGTCATTACAACATGTGAGAAGCTTGGTAGGAACATCCTGTGTTCAGTGTTTTGTCCATTTGAGTACCTTAAAAACGCTTTGCATGCATTTTTCATGATGAAAAAAGGCTCTGGATAGCATGGGGAACTGGAAGAGTTGAAAAAAAAATTCAAATAATTATAAACGCGATTTGCCGCGTTTAGCTGTGTTTTGCTTTTGAAACGCTGATAAAATTGACTGCTGAACGCAAGTTTTTTGCATTCAAAAAAATGACTGTAAACTCGAATGCATGTAAACGACTCTAAACGAAGATGTGTACATGGACACATAGGAAAACATTAGGGAGAGTTCAGGGGCTGCTGAGAAAAACACTGAACAGCTCCTAAACGCAGTGTACATGAGCCCCAAGAAACTCCTCTAGAAGTCCACTAGTTCTGGGTTTTTTCCAGCCAAAAAATGCTGATTACAGCCTATGTGTGCATGGTCACATAGGATAACATACTGGGGGGTTTACTGGCTGTAGAAAAAAAACACCAAAAGCCAAAAACAGCCGCTGTAAAAACGTTCCGTGTGCATGAGGACTTACTGCCACTGACAGAATTTTTTCTCATAATACCATCATTAGTCTCCAAGGTCACACAATCATAGCGAGCAATAAGAGAACCTGTATGCAGCAGCTGATCTAATCCTAATGAATACATATCAGAAAGGGAAAAGACCATCTCAGCTTCCATCCCTGTATCACCTTTACAGACATATCACTTGTAGTGCTTAGTCCTGTTCGTCTGGTCTTGTTCTCTAGTCTTGAATGAAGATATTTTATAGCCCATGTGAGTGGTGACACGTCTTCAACACCATAAGTCAAGTCCAGCGGAATGTGACCGAATACCACTGGAGATACCACTAGCGGGATACTGGGAAACTTCATATGAACATTGAAAGAAATGTTTTCATTTTGTCTCCTGTTGGCTGAACATTCTGACCTCAACAGTTTAATTGTATGTCTTGGTAGGGCTAGATGACATTTGATGAAAATGTAGTCAGCTGTCAGTAGCTATGGTGGTTTAACCGCTTCCCGACCGCCCTATAGCAGATATACTGCTACAGGGCGGCACAGGTGTGCAAAATCACATATATATACGTGATTTTGCATTTCCCTACCCGGACTGCCATTTGCAGCTATGGGTCTCAATCACCGAATCCCGGCCAGTGATTACCCGCTGGCGCCCAGTGATTGCCGAGCATCTACGACGGGGAGGAGAACTGTATGTAAACAATACAGTTGTCCTCCCTGTCAGCTCGTGCACACTGCTTTGGATGGCTGTGCACAAGCTGAAAGACCATCCTGTAAGCCAAGAGACCATCCAGCAAGCTGAAAGACCATTAATTTTGCTCAGAGTTCTACTATATACAATTCAGAATAAAAGACTGACATTTGAATTTGGCTTTCAGCTGGAATTTAAATTGGCCATACACTGGTAGATTTTCACTTGGAAATTTGTTCATTCAAGAAAAATTTTTCATTCTGCTCCTTTGAATTTTTCCGTCACTATGGTAGAAAATAATCATTTGGCCCCATTATCCATTAGAAAATCAAACAAAATAATAGACAAAAAAATTTCAAATAAAATTCTAACTGTATATGGCCAGCGTTAGAATTAGTTTTGCTGCTTCCAAATCAATTATCCTTGTGTACTGCTACTACAGTCTGCTGTGAATCCTATATAGTAGAATTGAGCTATACTTGGTAACCTACAAATCAGCATAAAACAATGTCATGGATAACATTAACTGCAGCAGGAAATGGTGGTGTTGTAATGACGTTCCTGCAACCAGTGTGTTACAGAGTGTATTCTAGGAATGATTATGTTAATACCCAGGTCTTACAGCAGGAGTACCCTCTTTTTAGGCAACAAATGGAGCAACTGTCTAAGAAGAAAGTCCTTTACCCTAGTTTTTCATCCAGCTAACATTGGGGCTCAGCCTTTATGGTGGGGCACATAGGTACAGTCCCAGTAATGCCTACATGTAGTGGTGAAGGCTGGTAGTCTCTCTGGATTGGCCTGGCATAGCATGGCAAGCTACACATCCTATAGTCCATAGTTCATCTCAGTTGCAAGAGAGAGAGGGTGTAAACGAGAATTTAGTGTCACTTACCATGGAATACTTTGATTTGTGAATGAATGTGCTTCCTGAATCCTACATAACCATGAATTATCTTTCCATTCGCTAGCTTCCTCCTTTAATGTCTACGTTACATCTGAGAAGGTAGTGTTTTAATGTTGCAGCACGTGT